GAGAAAAATTGAGGTCGGGGTCCTCACAGTCTACCCAGGGTAACCAACATATGATGATGAGGATGATGATGCTAAAACGGATGATTTTCTGCTAATCAGAATCATTATGTCAGACCGGTCGCACTCTAAGTACTAGCCAATAAGGAAGAGTGGTCAGGAGGGTTAATCAGAATGTTCACTACTCAGAACTTCAACATTGAACCCTAACCTAATTTCAGGTGTTTCTACCAATTCCAGCAATTATCATCTGATGCTGTGCTGTGTACCAATCCCACCTCTACCCAGTCTCATACCCTCCATTTAGCTAAGTTACAGGGCAGCGCTACCTACCCCAGCTCTGACCATCGTTGGCAGGATTGTTACCATTGGTCAAATTACTGGAATGCCTTCCTCCCTCAGCAATCCCCAGAACTCTCTACAAGACCTCAAGCTCCTAGTACTGAATCACCTGTGTTCTTTTGGATGCATCCTGTTCTTTGTCGAAGCCTGTTTTGGAGGTGTTTCCGGGCACCTTGCGTTGTTGCCGTGATCCTGTCGGCTACGGAGGCCCTTGCCTGCTGAACGCCAAATGTATGTTGGTTCCTCTCATGGGAGCATCTCATTCACCAGGATGCCATGATAAGGGCCCAGACAGGTGTACTGGAGCAAATATGCGGGAATTGTGACCACTGCAGCTCGTCCGTCGGGGGTGCTCCCAAGAGGATGGTTGGAGGTATCGTCCCGTCATGTAGTGCCATGTCGTGTCCCACCACCACCACAGTCGCACGACCATCGGGCAATCCAGTAGACAGTGTTCCAACTTGGCCCGCTTTCTAGGCTGGATCAGTTCGCAGTGGGAGCAAAGGCAGGAGAGGAGACCCTTTTGCTTTAGGTCTGCTCTGTTTGTCAGCCGGTCGGGTGTGGGCAGACATCTGTGGATGACCTGCCACTGCAAGGCTCTGTGGTTAGTTGGCTTGATATGAGAGACGGATGAGCATTTGAAGATGAGGAGGTTGTTCCTGTTCAGGGGGGAGTCCCTCTCCCACCTCTGTAGTACACCGTCCATGATTGGCACATGTGCACGTGCCACTGTATAGCCATTTTTCACTGTGTACTGCCATGGGTACATTGCTGTATCCGCCCCCCATCACCTGCAATGTGGATCCCCTCCATCTGTGGAGGGTGAGGCCGGGGGGAGGGTCCTGGCCCCTGGGAGGTCTTCAGGGCCTGGCTGGGCATTTTGGGGACTCTGGGGGCATTGCTTCTGGCCTTCAGTCGTGCTCCGCTTTACCGGGCGCTGTATGACAACCTCCCGTTTGAGACTATCCTCAATGAGCCGGTATGCCGTTCTGGCCAAGGTGTCCCTAAGGGTGGCTCTTTTCCCCACTCCTCTGTCTGCTACGCTCACATTATGTGCCGTTGCAGGGCGAGCGGGGGCGGTGTTCCCCCCATGCGGAAGTTGGATATGGGCTATGTAGGTAGTTACTGACCTCCTCTCTCTGAGCACTGGGGCCCTGCAGTCCTGTGTGGGGCAGCTCTGTGTCTGATTTGGACTCAGAGAGCTGTTGTTCGTTTGCCGGTGCATGGAGTTCTGTTAGAATCGAACGATAGAGAGACAATTAGCATGGCCCCGATGCAAGGATGGCATGCATAAATGGAGAAGAATCATGTGACTACCCCCTGACTCATGTGCTTTTTTGTAACGTGTTGCAGTGGCGACCAGTCAACTGTATGATATTTGTCTGTGCCATTGGGCCTCACTCCACTACTCCGTGTTTGAAACGTATCTGTGCAATACAAGTCTCTGATCCCACTTCTTATAGGCGAGGCACTTTTTGGTAAATTTTAGAATCCCACTTCTTTCGGCGAGAGCCAGAGGTGGCCCTGTTTTTTCGAAGAAGTGGAAACAGCGTAGTACGTGGCAGTGTGAGCGCGATTGGAGGACCGATGCATCGTGGAAGAAGGTGCCCTTGTTAACGCTACGCAATTTGAGCGCGATTGGAGGACCGATGCTTCCACGATGCATTGTGGAAGAAGGTGCCCTTGTTAAACCAGCAGTACTTCCTACAGTCACGTAGCGTTAACGCTACGCAATTTTAGGACACGTACGGGCCACTACAGGAGCGCCCAAACTCATCCAACTAGAAACGTTTCTACTCTATTTTTTTTCCGCGGCCGATAGCTGGGCCAAGTACTGGTGGTTTAAACTTCAAAGATCAAAAGACGCCACCCCCATACCCTGCACCGTGGAAGAAGGTGCCCTTGTTTTTTTCCTTTCTTTTCCCCCCCCCTGATTTGCAGGCAGTTGGATCCTGGAGGCGCCACTAGATAGCGCCGCTTGGTTAGGAAAAGTGCCCCGCAGAAGTAGGGCATGTGGGGTCACGTTTTTCTTTTACGTTCCGTGCGCTGCCCCTCCACCTTTTGCAGCACTTTTACGTTTTTTTACGTTCTTTCGGAAAAGAAAAGAGGTGGGATCCGACCCTAAGGCCCAGACCCGTTCAAACTGATGTGCACCAGGTCCACCAGCACGTCCTGATTCATTTCAAATGTGGTGTTGTCGAGCCGAGGGTAATTTTCTCTTCTTCCCGGGAGTGGCTGCTGGTAATCATTCGATGGCTGTGAAGTCCACTACAGGGAGTCATCACAGGCGCAACACCAGAGTGGGCACCCGAAAAAAAAAAAAAAAAAAAAGAGCACAGACATCGGCAGTGGGGGTCGGAGTGGATGTTTTTGAGGAGGAAGTGCCTTGTGAGTGTTTATGAAGAAAAAAAAAAAAAAAAGGATGAGTTTTTTTTTTTTTAAATGAAACTTCGTATACGGGAAACCTACTTAACAAGGTGATAAGAGCATGGATGGATAGTGAAACGCAGTCGATACGACGCGTACTTTGCCAAAGGCAAAACATGACATGGACGAAGGGGGATAGGAGGAAGGGGGAGTGACTAAGAGGACATGGCACAGACGAGAGAGCAGGAGAAGGAGAAACGTAA